TGACATCATAATCATCTGTTGTTTTAGTTTTTTTTTTCTTTTTTAATTCTCTTTATATTTTTTCTTGATTTTTATTTTATTTCTATTTTTATTCATGCCATTATTTTTGATTTATATATATATATTCAAAATTAATTATATGACAATTTTAATATATGTGTACACCGTGTCTCATTCATCTACTTTTCGGCTTAGTCCCTTTATTAATCTGGGGTCGCCACAGCGGAATGAACTGCCAACTTATCCAGCAAATGTTTTTACATAGCGGATGCCTATCCAGCTGCAACCCATCACTGGGAAACACCCAAATACATTCATTCACACACACACTACGGTCAATTTTAGCCTACCCAATTCACCTATAGCGCCTGTCTTTGGACTGTGGGGGAGCACCCGGAGGAAACCGGGGACATGCAAACTCCACACAGAAATGCCAACTGACCCAGCTAAGGCTCGAACTAGCAACCTTTGTGCTGTGAAGCGACAGCACTACCCACTGTGCCACGGTGATGCCCCATATACTTTTTTATTTAAAAAATAAAATAATTTACTCATGCTCTTTTTTTTGTTATAATAATAATAATATGACAATTTGAATGTCATTTACATATTATGATCATCCTTTGTCATAATTTTTAATCAATAGTATTGTTTCATTTTTATTTTAATGAATATTTGAGTATTTTTAATGATATTTACTGATATTTACTTCACTCTCCCTTCATGGTGGCTTCAGATTTACTTTTAATTATCCCAAATGTTAAACATCACTAAATGGCGAGAATTACTGCTGGACGGTTAACCGACACCATTATGATCATGAATCGACTAAGCAGACGCTGAAGAATCTTATTACAGCTCCAACCCTGTTTTATATGAAAGCAGTTTGTGCTTTCTGTGTGTGTGTGTGTGTGTGTGTGTGTGTGTGTGTGTGTGTGTGTTCTCTCATTACAATGATCATAATATTTTATTTCTCACTGTAAGCATGTGTATTGTTTAGGTAAGATGAAAAGAGAGACTTTATCTAAAGCAAAGTCTGTTTTAAGATGAAGAAAAAAGTGTGATTGTTGTGTCTAGGTGGAGAAGGAACTTTCTAGACTCCTCCTGCTCTCCAAAAAAGAGCCCAAAAACTTCTTCTGGAAACCTTCAGAATCAGAAAGAGCGTTATTGTCAGGCATGTTTACACATATGAGGGATTTGTTTTCGTCACAGAAGATTCCACAGTGCAACAAAATGACAGTGACAGGACAAACACACAGATATTAAAGGAAATTAAATGTAAAGTTTGATACATTTTTTACACTATAGACATCCAGACTCAAACTAAAATAGAGCTGTTTGACCATTCACCAAGACTAATCACAGACAAAATAAAAGGTTCTGTCTCATAATAATCAGTCTCATCAATAATAATGTTATGTATATGCAGTGTAATGTATTTCTTGTTTGAAGCATCTGTATACTTTCTATCTTGTCATCTTGGTGCCCTGGTCTTAAATTAGGTTAAATTGAGGTTAAATTCCTCATGAAATAAGTAACTTATAGTTATTTTAAATTCAATTAAATTTAATCTTTAATATAATTTTATTTTTTATTTATTTATTTTTTCTTATGTTTGAAGCATCTGTATACTTTCTATCTTGTCTTAGTGCCCTGGTTTGAGGTAAAGTTTTTATATACTATAATATATATATACTTTTTTATTTTAATGTTTTTTTTTTTAATAATAAGTTTTTTTTTTTAATTTTAGGCATCTGTATACTTTATATCTTGTCTTCCTAATGTCCTTGTTTTGTTTTTTTAATATTATATTTTATTTTGTTTTTAGTATTTTATTTTATTTATTTGTATTTTTTATATTTTATTTTATTTTGTTTTATTTAGTTTTTAATATTTTATTTTATTCATTTCTTGTTGTTATTTTTTATATTTTATTTTATTTTGTTTTAAATATTTTATTTTATTTGTTTTTATTTTGTTTTTAATATTTTTTTATTTTGTTTTTAATATTTTTTTAAATTCTGATTTTAATATTTAATTTTATTTTATTGTATTATGTTTTTAATATTTAATATTTAATTTGTTATTAATATTTTATTTTATTTTTAATTAATTTATTTTAATTTTGTTTTTAATTTAAAAAATTAGTTTTTAATTAGTTTTAAATATTGAATTTTTTTATTTTATTTATTTTCATTTAGTATTTATTATTTTATTTTATTCAGTTTTTAATATGAATTTTTAAATGTATTTTTATTTAGTTTTTTAATATTTTATTTAATTTTTATTTAATTTGTAATATTTAGTTTTATTTAGTTTTTAATATTTAAATTTATTTATTTTATATTTATTTTGTTTTTAATATTTAGTTTTTGTTTTGTTTTACTTTTAGCTTCTCTGTGTTGCTTCACTATATACTGAAATGCTTTTGTCAAATCAAACACAGACCTGCAGCAAATTGACGATATTTTTTGTCCTCAGGGAGGCGTTTGTATTAAAATGCATTTAGGTGAAAGAAGCAGAAGAGAAGCAGGAGCGCAATAAAACTTAATTGACACGGTTATGGTTGCGATCTCCAATAAGCAGACTCGTGGAGCCAGAGAGGGTGATTCTGCGCGAGCTTTATGCCTCTTTCAACCATAGAAAGTAAATGAAAAGATAATTAGGTGCTACTTTTAGTAGATTCCAGCTTGCCAAGGTTAAATATACTACTTTATACAGGATTTTTTGCTACTCCTGCAGACGTACCTCATGGTGGACTCTGACCAGATTTCTGTCACGTCTCTATAGTTTAGTCCTAATGAAATGAGTGTGTCAGTATGAAGCTTTGGCAGCAGCATTGTGGGAAAAAACTGTGAATAAAGGCTTCAGTTTGTGTCTTGGTTCTGTAATGAAGATTTGGATCGCTCTGAATGGCCGATGCTGGTTTATGAGGGTTTATAACTGTGTGTTAATTGTGTTTTATGAACATTTGCTCACTGTAATGGCAATAACAGAGAAGTCATTGTCGATTATTTATCTAAATGGAAGATTTAAAGGGATGTTCATTTCGGGATTTAAAGGGACCTATTTTACAAGATGTAAAAACGAAGTCTCTGATGTACCTAGAGTGTGTGTGTGTGTGTGTGTGTGTGTGTGTGTGAAGATCAACTTAAAATACCACACAGATAATATTTTATAACTCTCTGAAACTGACCTTTTTAGGTTTTGATGGAAAATTGTGGCATTTTTGTTGACCGTTGCTTTAAATTCAGATGAGATTGCACTCTTTTTCAAAAGAGGGAGGAGCTACAAATGCCTTTGTGTCAGCATAGTGGCAGATTCAAAAACAAGACTAACATCCTATGCTAATGAGGGAGAGATGACAGAAATGGGTGGGGCTTTCCCCCTCTGATGACGCATACAAAGGAAGAATGTCAATCAAAGTGTTTCTGCAGACAAACAATATGAATGAATTTTTACCGTTATAGCTGGTTATATTCACACTGCTGGCACACAACTGTTTAAGCCCCTTATAAATGTCTCTTTTTGCATAATAGGTCCACTTTAAGATTAAGAGCTGATTTATTTTTTTTTTTTAGATTTTTACAAAAATGGCATTTCGTTTATACCAAAATGGCATTTAGTCTTATTTTAAGTCATTTGAATCATTATAGTTTTAGTCGTCTACATTTCTTATGAATTTAGTAGTAAGTGCTTTAAGGGGTCATGAAAATATTGACAGAAAAATCCTCAAATAGAGAATGACATCTAAATATTTAATACATTTTAACATTTCATTTTACAGTTGTAAACAAATAAATGAACATTGCTGAAATAATATACAAATATAATGGATTAAGCTTCAAATAATTAAATGAACTCAGAACATGTTACTCAAATCAGATTTCTTTCATAAAGATATTATATTAACTGCATAAATAATAAATGACATGAAATTAACCCGAAAATAAATGAAAGACATTTAGCAAGTTATAACTTTGAGACCATGCATGATCAAACTGTCTGTACTAGATGTGGAATTGGACATTCTAGGTTGAAATTTTTATTTACTGAATAACGAAGCGCCACCTAAATGTAATCAGACTGATCTTACCATAAACCATATTTTTTTTGGAATGTGGAAGTTTTAAATCCATTAGACACAATTTGTTTAAGGAGATTACTTTGAAGAATCTTAAATTTATTAATAATTGAAGTGAAAAATTATATTTAACTTTGAATATATTGTGTGTGAATTTTATCTATTTATTTTCTATATATTTGCCTAAGTAACTTTTTATTGTAATACGAAATTGTTTTTATCATGTAATATTTTATGTATATGCATTTTGCTACGAAATAGCCATACATTGCAGATGTTGCAATAAATAAATAATAAATAAATAAAGATATACCATATTCAAATCATGAAGCTTTTTAAATGACAATTTAGCATTTTTATTGTGTTGTTTGTTTTGTGTTTATTGTGGGTTGTTGTGATTATTATTGTTGTGTTTATTATTGTTTATCGCCTTGAGTGTAAGAAAGGTGCATTACAAATAAAACAACATAATAACAATATTAATAATAATAACAATACTAATAATAACAACAATAATAGTTTTCCCAGGGATGGGTTGCAGCTGGAAGGGTATCTACAGCGTAATACATGTGCTGGTCAAGTTGGCGGTTCATTCCGTGGTGGCGACCTCTGTTTAATAAAGGGACTGAGCCAAAAAGAAAATGAATAAATTAATTAATGAATGATGAATAAATGAATGAATTAATAATAATACTAGCATTTAAACATTTGTAATGATCTCTGCCATATTAACGTTCACATGTCTCTAACATTTCCATCCTGTCTTTATTCATTGATGAAAACCCTGTTTTTTAGTCTCTTAAAATGTTTTGGTCTTTTTTTTTAAGCTAGTTATTTTGTATTGGTCAGTGAAAAATGTTGTTGATGGAAAAATATGAGGAGAATAATATGTGAGTGTGTGTGTGTGCTGTTACAGGTTTGCTCTGGGTGACTCTCGGAGGCCACTACATGAGACCGCTGCCCTGGTGGAGGATATAGTGCACACACAGCTCATCAACCTTGTAAGTCTGAACACACACATTTGTTTTTGTGAAGTGTGGGGACATTACTTAGGTTTCCATTGTTTTATACAATACAAACTGTTTTCTATTACTCTAAACCCACCCCATCCCTTAAAGGAATCTGTGTGCAGTTTAACTTTCTGACAAAAACTCATTCTGTGTGATTTAGAAGCTTCTTGAGAAATGAGGACTTTAGCAATGTCTTCATATTGCGCCACCTTTTTGTAGCGCCTGTGTCATACCTATGTCATTATGATTTCTGTCCTGATTTGTCACAAAAACACTTATAAGCATACACACACATGCTTCCATAATGTAAGAGGTGTGTTTGGGAATTGACTGGCTAGATGATGTCAGCTAAAAAGTTTTAGTGTAACATAGATTACACATAGATAGTTTAGTTTTTAGTTTAACATAGATTAATATATATATATATATATATATATATATATATATATATATATATATATATATATATATATATATATATATATATTTATATAGTGCTGTCAATCGATTAAAAAAATTAACTAATTAATCGCACCTTTTTTAAAAAATTAATCGCGATTAATCACATTTAAAATACTGAAACTTGTAATTTTGGCTATTTAAATGTAAAATTAATGTTTACGCAAGACAAAAAATATTTAAATTCAAAATATAATTGTTTAATAGAACTTGTAACACAGATTTCTTCATGTAAACAACATACCCACAATAAACCATCAAGTTCCTGGCTTGACAGCCATATTTATTACAGAAATTAAAACACAGGCATGTTAGTGACATTTAAATTTCAAAACAATCAATGCCAATAAAGAAAACGTTGATTTCCATGTTGGATTCTAAGTGGACTGCAAAAAAATGCCAAAATACAGGAATTGCAGATGTGGAAAATGAAAAATTATAATAATAAACTATAGAATACAAACAGTTGCACTCATTGTAAAATTGTATTGCTGTGAGTTGAGAACATTAGTTATAGAGTAGAAACAATTTTGCTTAATCCTCCTTTACATTGATCCTGTTGCTAAGACTAGGAGTATCCCGCAAGTGCACAGAGACTCCCAAATGCCCGCAAATGAATGATAATTTCTTGCAAACCGGTTGTTAAATACATTGCACACCCCTCTCGCCCCTACTCAGATACGTCGCTCACTCCACCCCATATACAGACACACACACAGACAGACACACACACAACGCGCTGCAGACGTTTTGGCCCCAACGGCCTTCCATACTGGAGCGACTCCCCTCAGATTCAACACGCATGATCACGTTCATCAAATTTACTTAAACTAAACGTCCTAAAGTATTAATGTATTTCACAAGGATTCTGACACAACAACGCGAAGCATACACTTTCGTTGCGTTTAATGAGGAAACACGCTAAACTTGGAGGGCTCATGCTGAAAGGCAGAGTAATGCCCTGTCTTTGACAGCTCGTGACTTCACCAGACGTTCTTAGTACATTTACATAAGACACCAATACTCCGATTTTAATATGATTAAGATAATACTCCTATTAAAATTCTACCGTGTAGCCTTAAAAGGAACCTTACCTTAAAGGAACACCGAGTCACGAAATGCGGAGGATTTTCTTTCTGTTCGCCATGCAGTATCAACTTACAACAGAAGTCGAAAGTTAAAAATGAAACACCTGAAATTGCATGAAACTCTGGATAACCTGTGATGCAACTAATTGTTTTATACTGGAACTTGCCTTCAAAAAGTGCTTCCTTGGTCTTATCCACATTTATTGCATGTTGATCACACGTCCACCACAACAGGAAGTAAAAAAAACCTGAACTGCGTTAATTGCGTAAATTTTTTTTAACGCGTTATTTAAAATTAATCGCATGCGTTAATGTATTAATTTTGACAGCGCTAATATATATATATATATATTATTCTGACTTTAAAAACAGTATGAAAGAAACAGGCTTAAGAAAAAAATATAGGTAAAAAGGTTTAAAGGCTGTGAGTGGTTTTTATTTTGTTAATTTTATTTTGATAACATTTTCCCCCTTAAATTGTTACCTATATTTGATGATTTTCTTTATTTCTATTTTATTCATTTTTACTTTATATATACAGGCCTTGACATTAACTTTTTTGATCACCAGCCACTGTGGCTAGTAGATTTCCAACATTACTATAAAAATAATTTATATATATTAAATATATTTTATATAAATAAATGTGACTTTGACATGCTAAATGACTTGATTTAGATGTTTTGTTGTCCACATGCATCCTTATTTAGTTCACTGTGTGTGTTGTGTGTGAGCTTGCTCACTGTGCATGAGCAAATGAGTTGTCGCATTGCAATTAGTTTTTATTTCACATGACGTTTTTAGGGCTCAAAACTAACGATTTACCAAATTGATCTCTGACCACACAAAAAGAAAATAATTATTTCTTAGCCACTCATTTTAAATGTGTCAAAACAAGCAAATATATAGCTGTATACATGCACTTTTTATTCAACAATTTTTTTTTTTTTTTTTTTTTTAAAGAGACATTTAAAAAGATCTATTGTCATGCATCTAAAATATGCACAGTAATCTGTCCTGCCTAAAGGTCCCAGATCAGCGGCTACTACACATAAATGGGGAGTTAGGGTGCTTTTACACCAGTGAATCGATTCAGTTGTTCCGAAACAGAGATTACAATTGTTACATTGTTGCTCTTTGCTCTTGGAGCGGTTCGCTTTCACACTGCAAAGTTTCTAATCGGACCAAAAGAGCTAAAACAAGTCACGTGCGAGTAAACTCTCCTCACATTGGTCAGAGTGTCAGGGTTTATTTTGCAGCGTCCCGCTCAGCTGTCAGGAGAGGTGGTGGTTTGGTGGTGATTGACAGGGTGCGCGCGCGTGACGTGTCTGAGGAGAGATGCGGTGGGGAGGGGTGAGAAGGGTGCGCGACGATGCCTATTTGAGGACCGGGAGGGAGACACAAGATTACCGGGAGATCATCACTTGTTTGCGGGCATCCGGAGACTCGCGAAACTTCCCGCCATACTCATAATTCTCTCTTCATATAGCCGTAAGCCTATTACATATCCATAAAACACTGTGATATAACCGCGCTTGGATCGGATCGCTTTCTCACTGCAATCGAACCGCTCCAGGGTTCGTTTCAATCGAGCCGAGACCACCTCGTTCAAGCGATCTCGGAGTGATTACTTTGGCGCGGAACAGAGAGTGATTGCCCTGTTCACATATGCCAAACGAACCGCGCTAACTGGGCAAACGAGACACGTTCCGAAACAAAAGTGTAGGTGTGAAAGCACCCTTAATCTCATATTAAAGAAATGTTATCGTAAAGGATGATAATTAAACTTTATTAACAAAGATAACTGTAAGCAAAAGAAAGCAGGTAAAAACATACCACGAGTGATAATGAAAGGATGATTACGTGCCTGAGAATAATTAAAACGAAAGCAGTGACTGCTGCTGCATCTTATTCAAAAAGAGTTGAGACTGCAATTTCTGCCAAAGGTGCATCAACAAAGTATTGAAAGGCTGTGAATAATGATGTACATGTGATTTTTCACGCATTTTTTTTCTTTTTTTCAAAAATAAATTTGCAACAATTTAAACTCTTTTTTTCACGTTGTCATTATGGGGGATTGTGTGTAGAATTTTGAGGAAATAAATCAATTGAATTATTTTAGGAATAAGGCTGTAACATAAAAAAATGTGGAAAAAGTGAAGCGCTATGAATACTTTCCCGATGCACTGTACTATTGATTTTAATTCATTTCCGAAGAGACAAGATCATGTACAACATTTTTTTTTATTATTTATTGTTATTTTATCCATTTTAATAGGTTTACAAAAGTAATGTTCTATTTTAAATCTTTATAATATAGATTTTTAATTATGAATGTTTTCTATTTTCTATTTTAAATTTCGTTTGTGATGTTAGTTAATCATTTTTTTGATTAACGGTCTCATTTTTGCCTTCGACTACAGTACTTGATAACATTGATCACAGTAGAATACTGCAAATTCCTAATATGCAGTAAGTTACCGTAAAAGATTTTTTTTATTACCCACAATGCAGCGCATATTACAGTAGTGAACAGAAGAATGTATGTGGTGTTTTACTTTTATAGTAAATAACCAAAAGTCAAACAGTGTGCCATACAGGTTGACGTAGTCAGTTTTCAGGGCGTTCGGGGTGAATGTTACACTAGATGAGATCTGACGGTAAAACACACACACACACACACACACACACACACACACACACACACACACACACACACACACACACACACACACACACACAGCTCCAGAAAAGGGTTTTACTCCAATCTGTAATTAAGTATAAATATCCTCATCAGAACGAGTCTGTTTTCCTCCTCCTCCTCCTCCTCCTGCTGCACATACAGATCATATTGAGTGCGACCGCTGCAATGCGATATGAGGATTGCTCAGAGTTAAGTAAATAACTGTGAAGCTTACAAAACCGATGACTTTCGCTGCTTGGATAAACAGCGTTTCTCCCCGGCGCAGCACCTTGTCATGCTGTTACCACAAGCTGATCCAGACAGTGCAGAAATCCCCTGAACACAGCCCAGAAAACACACACTGATCTAGAGCTGCTTTCCCTCACGCTGAGAGAGTTTAACCTTTGACCCGCCGCTGCACCCAGAATACTGCTCTGAACATTCATTGCTTTAACCTTTAGCCTGAGAGTCGGAGAGCTCTTAAATCACAGCAGCGTTCAGATTGCAGGATCACTTTTAGTTTTGGTGCTGTTTTTGTAATTTAAGTGTTTTTTCTGTGTTTGGAATAATGTTGATTAATAGGAGAAAAAAGAGGATTGTGTACAATTACGTAAAATTACACTGGCTCTGACTAAAGCCTGGTTTATACTTCTGCGTCAAGTGATTATCGTGACCCACGGCGCCTGGCTTGCCCGTAGTCGTGCATTTAAATTTCAGTGCGCTGTTTGTGTCGCTCTGCAATAACACATCAGAAGCGCTAG